AGTCTTCACTAGATCTAGCCTCTAATTTAGATTTTATTCAACCCTGGAGTAAATCTATTATAAAATGATAAAGAATGTGTACTCTTCTTAATTAAAAAAAATAATGCGTTTTCAAGCCTTAAAAGGTCCGGTTTCTACGGGAATACACTGTTAGAGGATGGTGGTGATGGTCAAAGTCAAGGCAGCAGACTTGGAAAGTAACATCTGACAAGTTGATCTTGACTCCATATAGCCATTTTTTAACAGAATTTCTGTTTTCATCTGCCACTTCTCCACAACACAAGTGAATGTTCCATGTTGATAAAACGCCTGTGGTAATTTCTGGTCTTCGATCAAATGCGTTCCTAATTCAGTTCACAAAGAAGGAAAAGTAACAGTTGGATCAGACATCACTTATCCTGTCGCCTCAGGCACACTCTCTCTGCGACACTGTGAGTGTGACTTGACAATGTCCAACTATCTCATGTTTCATGTAAGTTGCAACTGTTTCCATCACTTTTGATTCACCCTTCAACTCCGGACCCATAAACAGCATCTGCTACACCAAAATTCTCAGGCATGAAAAGCTGATCTCATTGTCATGAAATTGCAGTGGGATGAAGTAGATTTCAGTATGCGTATGGTTTAATACAAAAGACCAAGCTCAACTTTGTCACGAAATAGAAAAGTTTAAAAAACCCATAAACAAAACACATGATGGCTCTCTTCAACACTGTTAAGATGCTCGTCTCCTGGCATAGTAGCCTAAACACGCACAAATGCCAAGAATTCCAATAACCAAGCCAAGAACTAATGCAATGGCATCACCGGCATCAAATGCCGCGACGCCTGGAACATTGAGAGCAAAGATGAAAAGTAGGAGCTGGACGACATCGTAAAGGCCTGCCATTTTGACGATCATGAGCGTGGAAGTGAAACTGTAGCATGTGACAGGTGTCACATGACAGCACTTCTAAGGGAGATCACCAATAGTAAATTAACGTGTGTGTGTAGTGTGTGTACAATACTGTAAAAATACGAAAAAAGAGAGCGGAAAAAAGGGGAATCTCTCTCTCTCTCTCTCTCTCTCTCTCTCTCTCTCTCTCTCTCTCTCTCATTTCCCTAACTCCAATGTCGCATACGCTTTTCCAACAATTATTTTATTAGATTCTTAACTGGATTTTTGGATAAAAGAAAACTTGGGCTAGCTGTTCGGAATTTACTTGACCTGGTGCACATTTCCAGGGTCTCCACCCATCGTGGGACCTCATAAAAATACAACGTATTATCAGGTACCGGTACGCTGCACATGATTGTAAAGTGGTTCTCTGTTAGTGTAGTAATGTCATTCGCGAACGACGCTTGATTAGAGAGTCTGAATTAACTTATCAATTTTTATTTTACATAGTTTTTGTAAGAGTTTTACGGCACTCTCAACGCAATACATATAAGTGCCGAAGATTAGAGGTGTTACAAGAGAGTAACAATGTAGATCTTTCCTACCAGAAGATCAGGGGTGTGGCTGAAAGACAGCAGTAAGAATATGTAGTTTATTGTGTAGTAGTATTTGAGTACGTTCGTATGGGACCCGACGTTGTGTCCTTGGGAAAAGCGCTTTACACGAGTTTTCCGCTCTTCACCCAGGTGGGAATGGGTACCCAGCTATAGATAGTGAAAGATCTTGTCAGTTTGTTAGTGTTTGAGTTTGAGCGCTTAATCAGCTGCTCGCACTGTATGCTTCCCGGGAAGCTGAGAATGTTTCTGAGTGTTCTATGGTCTGCTGGGGTAATAATATAGTGTAAAGCGCATAGAGCTTACTGTCGAGCGGGGTTATGCGCCATACAAATGCTGTATATTATTATTATTATTATTATTATTATGGCTTCATACATACACGTGGGACTGTTCTGTGTGTGTAAAGGAATGTGTGTGAGTACGTGAGAGAGAGAGATAGGAGAGAGGGGGAGGGGGGGAAGGCAGAAGGAGGGAGAGAGAGAGAGAGAGAGAGAGAGAGAGAGAGAGAGAGAGAGAGAGAGAGAAAGAGAGAGACAGACAGACAGACAGACAGACAGAGAGAGGGGAGGGAGGGGAGGCACACAGAGAAATGATAGAGAACAAAGAAAAGAAAACAGGTCCGTTTTCAACAACATATCATTTAGGAGGAGGGCTTCTGGCCCTGCCTATCAGGGTCAACTCGGGCTGAGAGGGATGCAGCATCCCAGCAGAAATGCCGAGATACTCAATATAAAGGAATTTCCCTACTAAGGAATCGAACCCAGGTCTCCTGAGAGCGACAATGAAGCACCTAACCCCAACACCACAGACGCCGGTTAACCTAGTATAGTTTTAGTAGAGGGTTTACGGCGCTTGCAACAGCATAAGGTCATATGAGCGCCAGAAGATTAGAGGTGTTGCAAGACCAAGAGGGTAACAAACATAAAAAAGAAAGGGAGATAAGGACAATAGATGTTTTATAGGAAAGAAGAAGCAAACTACATCAGAACGCCCGCCAACCACCCACTCCAGTTACCCTGACATATGGTAGTTTAATGTAATGTATGAACATTCTTCGTAATTCTCTTTTCACTCAGATTTGCTTATAATGCTAGTAGTTCTAGCCCTCAACCCCTCCGCTCTCCCCTTTTTTTTTGGAAAGGCCTCAATATAATATGTACGCCTACTGACACTGCCTTTCATCCTTCTTCTCTCTTTGATAAACAATTTCATATCATCTTTCCTGTATCCGCAGAGGAGAATATTTCTCCAGCGAAATAGAAGAAATGAAATAACAATAAAATCTAAAGGCAACAGAAATAAAAGTACACAGTGTTTTTATTGTCTTCCATAACACCAGTCTCCATACTGACAGGACAACAAGTATTCAAATAAACATTCTAGGAACACACTTAGAACATTCTATGCATCATTGAACACAGCTAGGAGTGTCTAGATCAAGATCAGAGGCCTGAAGTTTTACAGAACATTATTATATCGCAGACACTGGAGGTGGAAAAGAGAAGCAATGAAGGCAAACATGTCATTATAACAGCTTCTAGGTCCACTATATTGGTTTACATAAACTCAAGGACATTGCCACTATTTCTGTTAGAAGCTGAGAGTTGTATTTCTACAATCCTGGACAAATCTCTGTTCCCAGTGGGGGTTGGTTGGGTGGGCAAATTCGAAACAAAATGCTCAGTAGCCTACACCAGAAATGTAGCTTTTTTAGGAGCATCTGAGTGAAGGAATGAATGGAAAACCATGATCGCCGATGTCTGCCGCAGATCTGGCACTGGATGAGCCTACAGCACAAAGCAATTGTATTTTCCTTGCATTTACCCTGTGACGGGTGGTTGTAACGACAAGCCTGGTTCTGATATATTATGTATCTCTTGCTATTTCTGGAGTTTTATTATGTATCTCTCGCTATTTCAGGAGTTTAAAGTCCACAGCTAGTCTCTATTCAGTTAAGCCTTTCAAGTGAACAGAAGAAGATGCCAAGTAAGAGCTAATTGACTTCAAAAAGCACTGCCAAATGTAGGGACAGACAAAGCACAGTTAGTGAGCCAGCCCAGAAACACTATCAATTGCGTGGCATCGTGGTGAAACCAGGCGCTCATGAAAATAACGAAATACATTTTTTAAAACAAAAAAACCCTAAAGCATTTCGAGTTGTTATTTTTTTGGGGGGGTGGGGGGTCAACAATTTTTACATCTGATAAAATAAAAACCCAACACATTTCTGTGTGGATTTTATTGCAAAATGTGGAATAAGTCGTCACAAAATAAAAACGTTTGAAGTTTCTAAGGCATTCAAGCTTTTGAAGTCACCAAACTCTGGCAGCCATTTTCTCAGCTAACTTTACCTCTGAAAGCAGGTAACCCCCACCTTCCTAAATCGCACCTATCTTGACTTCAATTCAAGACAGATGGGTATTTGTTCATTAAAAGTAAGACAAATTATAAACAAGCCTTAAGATTATACCAATAACTACATAATATGCCTCAAAATTGACAAACGCCTGATTCCACTGTGTCATGTATTTTTCATTGTTTTTTGTCACTTATGATGTAAATTGAATCAAAGCATCTAAAATTTGTTTAAAAAATAGGAATGGACTCTAGGTCCCAAAAGCAAGTTTTTCACCACCTGTACAGTCTCCAGACTTGGAGAAACCACTCGAACAACAGTGGAGTCCTCTTAACCCTATCTGTACGTCATGTTTTACTAACGTATCCATATTACGTGGGGAACTCTGTGCCCCCACTTTCCAAAGAGGAAATTTACTTGCTAATCCGATCCGTACGCTTTGCATAGCAGTCTGTCAAAGTGATTTTTTGAGAAATACTGAAAGTTTCAAAGACATCTTCGCACTAGAAGTATTCTAAAATGTGAAGAATACAAACCCTGGGGTACAAAATGACCCCAGGCATACGGATAGGGATAAAGTGAACTCTTTGGGACTAGAAGAAAGTGTTCACTCTATCCGAGGTTCAGTTTAACTATTGTGGTAGGGCGGACGCCTAGAAACAGACAGTAGCTACGTGTAGTGGTGGGTCTAGGGTGGAGGGACAACACAGTAGGCGAGCCTAAACTAGAGCTCTTTCTTTCCGATTGCCGTCGCCAACGTCGAGCTGGGATTGTCTGCCGATGCCCGAGGCAAAGAATTTTATTTTCACAGCATGGCGACAGTGACACGGTCGGTCGGTTCTTCGCTTTCACTTTATCTGATTTCTCCATGAAATTGGTTCATTTTATCCACTATTTTTTAAAACTTTTAAACAAATAGCGTTTCAATCGGGACCACAGAATATCGTTCATTTTAACCGATTGTTCAAATAAAGCATGTTCACTTTAGGCGGACTCCACTGTAGTTCAGCACCAAGGCCACAGCCTTCACAAAAAGCTCATGGTATCTCCTGCCCCTCCTTTCGATAGGAAGGGAAAACACCACCCCATTGAAATCTGACAACAAGCAGCACTATTTCACAAATTTAAACTCTAAACAAATAGAATTTTTGCTCCTTTTCTGTTTCTGCGTGGCAGTTATTTATTATCTGAATCACTGAGCTTTGCCATGTTTTTTTTTCTTGTTTTTTCAACTAACTACAGGAATGGACCTATGCTTTATAATAATATGGATGTAAAATGACACATATACGCAAATATATATATAGTATATACATAAGATGTGATGTCATGATGTCATCGTCTTCCTCTCCTCTTCATAGCAGCAGTGCATTGTGGACAGTACCATTTGCCTTTTGGGGCTTGCGACAAGCCCACACAGCCGTAGTGGAACCACTCGATCGGGCACTGAGGAGACACGGAACAGTAAAACGAGAGTTTTAGTTTTCGTAAATGTTTTACGGCACTTGCAACACAATAAGGTCATATAAGTGCCAAAGATTAGAGGTGCAACAAGAGAGTAACAAACAGAAAAAAGGAGGAGGGGAGATAAGGACGATCAATGTTTGACAGGAAAGAAGAAGCAAACCACACCAGAGCACCCGCCAACCACCCACAAGGTCATATAAGTGCCAAAGATTAGAGGTATTAACAAGAAAAAGTAACAAACAAAAAAGGAGGATAGGAGATAAGGACGATAGATGTTTGATAGGAAAGAAGGAGCAAACCACACCAGAGCACTCGCCAACCACCCATGTACAAAGATAGACGTAACATATATATATAGAAAGATATAAAAGTATCAACAAACTGGGCATGGTCTGACAGATAGAATTGTATGGTATGGATCCGATGCTCCTAGTAACATTGGAAGGTTTTTTAAGATGCTCGGTCGCTCATTTCCCATTTGGTCGCTTTAAAGGAAAAGCGGGCTAACCCAGATTTCGGGGTTTTCCAGAAATCTTGACTTTCACCAAAAGTGGACATTACCCTATCTATAGGACAAGTTTGGTTTCATTGGTGTGTATATTTGTTTGGTTATAGAGAAAACTGTCCTTGTCTTTTAAAGAAACTGAACAAGGGTCCAAAAACTTTACCTTCAATTTTTTCAAAACAGCATTTTTCGGGATAGCCCCCTTGTGCTTAAAAGCATTTATCTTCTCCTCTGAGCCCTCGCCACCGGTACACCAGTGGTACGTAAAATTGCCCATATGTCTAACCAGTGGTGGCAAGTAAAATTGCCCTTATACCTAGCCAGCTGAGGCATGTACAATTGACCATTTGCCTAGTCACAAGTGGTGCATAAAATTGCCCGTATACCGAGCCAAGAAGACAGAAAGAAAGCCATCAAAAGTTACCAAACTGCTGAATATCAACAAAGCTCCAACAAAAATAAATCGGAATTAGGGTCATCCTCAGGAAGCGAGCCAAAAACTGTCCCCGCAGTTTATGCAAAAAAAGTATGAAATTGTGCAAACTCAGCCCAAAAATGTGAAATTATGCGATTCTGCTAATTTTAACAAAGAATGATGAAGGAAAATAGTTAGAAATTATGCACACAAAAAAATAATCAAATTTTGCTAAAATATGCGGGGTGCATAAAACCACGGAGACAGCAAAAAGAAAGAGAGCTGGGGAAGGAAAGGAAGGATGAGATGAGAGAAATAAGGCGAAGGAAGAGAGAAGGTCGGACTCACGTCGTTATTGTCACAGCCCACCATGTCCCCATAGGACACCTGGTTGCACAGACAGTAGCGCGGCTCGTTGGGGTCGGCGTTCCACTCGTCCACCTGCACGTCGCTCGGCACCTCCTCGCTCTCCGTCGTCGACACCTGGGGCGTGGCTGGCTGGGACGCGGTGGCCGCTGCGGCTGCTGCAGCCTGTTGCTGTTGCTGCTGTTGTTGCTGTGCTGCAGCTAAAGCTGCTGCCTTTGATGTTTGCCTGTGTGGGAAAAAATAAAACAACAAATAAAATAACAACAGAATAGTCAATAACATTTTTATGGTTGTCTTGAATATTATTGTCATTTGTGCAGAATATATTACTATATAATATTATGTCGAAAGAAAAAGGCACCGGGAAACAGGAAATGAAATAAACCTTTGGCTCAGAGACATTGTATTGTTTGAAATCTGAAACGGCAAATTTTACTTCCATTGCCAAAAAATTGATGTACAGTGAAATACGGACAACCCTATCAATGCAACATGATCATCGAGGGTTCGCGTAATGGGCGATGACTAGTACTTTCCGAGGGGATGAGATAAGCTTATGGCAAAGTTTGCTGTTGTTTCAGTATGAGTTACAGTTGACAGTGAGTCGGAAAGAAAGGAAATGTTCTCACATAGCCACAGACACATTCTATAAATAGTTGTAAAGTGAAAAAAGCATGCTGCAGTGTGTACAAGTGCCATGTAGATGTAGTTATTCTTCTTTTTCTTATTTTGAAATGGAAAGAAGGAAAGAATAGATGAAAGAAAAGCATAAATAATGGACTGCTAGCTGCCTTGTGTACCTGAGAATAGATAAAGAGAGAGTAAGTAAAAAGGACCAGTCTCTTTGTTTATTTATTTTAGTTAGGCTTTTTTAGTTTTAGTTGAGGTTTTACGGTGCTCGCAACTGCATAAGGTCTTATAAGCGCCAGAAGATTAGAGGTGTTACAAGAGAGTAACGTACACAAAAAAAGAAGAAGGGGGAGATAAGGAGGATAGATGTTTCATAGGAAAGAAGAAGCAAACCACACCAGAGCACCCGTGAACCACCCACGCAAGGTTTTTACGGCGCTCGCAACTGGACAAGGTCGACCAGTCTCCGTACACACACAGGTGACAACACACGACAAACATACTTTTTTGTTCTTTGTGATCGGGGAACTGGCTCTGGCGTTGACGGAGCGGACACCGACTGGCTCACACTGATGCTCAAATCTTTGGGAAGGACAGAAGGATTCTTCGTCATGAGGTCGTAGCTGGCCTTCATGCTAGACGTCCGCCTCCCGGTCTGCATCTACAGGGACAAAACACAGAATGCTTGTCTTTTAATTTTTGTAAGAGTTTTACGGCACTTGCAAGACGATAAGGTCATATAAATGCCGAAGATTAGAGGTGTTACAAGAGAGAAACAAACACAAAAAAGAAGGGCGGGAGATAAAGACGATATATGTTCGATAGGAAAGAAGGAGCAAACCACACCAGAACACCTGTCAACCACCCACTATAAACAATAAAGACAAAGAAAAAATATTAGTACTAATCTATAAAACATAAAAGCCAACGAGAGAATACTAGTCTATTAAACAACCCCCCCCCCCCACCCCCCAAAAAAAACCAAGAGAGAATACTCATGTATATATAACATAAGAGACACAGAGAGAACACAGGCCTATAAAACACTATATATTTATATAATTCACACAGGGAGACAACCCGTCTAGAAATCTCTGTAATCTTACTTGAATAGTTGCTGCCATTGCCTGAGAAGCAGCAGCAGCAATGGCAGGGTTCCCAGCCCCAATGTTGCCCAAAGTGTACGAGATTCCTGACCCTGACCCTGAAGAACTGAACATCTTTGCTGCCGGTGAGCTGGAGGCTGAGCTGGGCCGCCGCGGCCCAAACGATTCTCTCACGACTTCATTGGCGAGAGATGAAAGAACTTCTGTCGCTGGTCGCTTGTCCGAGTGATTCGTAACTGTCGACTGTGTGTGGGTGAGGCGGCGCTCTGTTTTTTTTAGTTGAAAAAAAAAAAGTTTAGTTTTAGTAAGAGTTTTACGGCACCTGCAACACAATAAGGTCATATAAGTGCCGAAGATTAGAGGTGTTACAAGAGAGTAACAAACACAAAAAAGAAGGAAGAGAGATCAGAACGATAAATGTCTGATAGATAGGAAGGAAGAAGCAAACCACACACTTTTTATGGGAAAACTCCAGCCCATAACTCAAAAGATGCACTAAATTCCCTGAGTAGAAGAGAACAAGTCACGATCTTTCGCCTACGAACACAACACATCCTACTGAATTCCCACCAAAATAAGATCCGCAAGGATACGCCACCCGACTGCCCTTTGTGTGACTGCCAGGAAGAAACAGTATCACACCACCTCTTTTACCTGCCCTGCACTTTGCGATCTGCGTAGCACCTACCTTCCTGCCTCCCCAGACATCGGAAATACTCTATACAGCGACAAAGCACAGCTGATAAAAACCTGTAAATTCTGTGCCATATCCACAGGCCGAAGGGCTACAACTCAAATGGCCGCTGGATCGGAAAAGTAAAATAAAGTATGGGAAAACCCAGACTGATCTAATAGACTGATACTTTGAGAGCTGCACAGGAATCTGTTTTCAGTAACAAACCTGATACACAATGCTTTCCCACCAATTTTGAAAAATGCACATATATAAATGTGGATTTTATCCCGTTAATTACCACAGAACATTCGAGCACATGGTCTTACTGATGGGAAATGTCACACATAAAATCAAATGAGATCAAAACAGAAGGGAAAAAAAAGTACATAGATGAGGAATACAAGACATCAGAAAAGTATGCATGAAAATATTTTTTTCAGGAAGATGACTCCAAGTGTTTGACTTACTCTCTGACTTGTGGTTAGTCAGCCCGGGGGGCGGTTTATCAAGTTCCAAAGATCCTGAAGAAGAAAAAAATGGAGTCACTTACTAGAGGAAAAAAAAAAATAATGAAAATACTTCTTACTGAAAGCGTATCCAGTGCTTGTCCGATATTTTGCAATTTAAAAAAAGAATATTAACTCATTGATTGAGTAGTTATCCATGGATTATAAACCAAACCAAGAGAAAACTTATGTGCAACAAAGCTCTTCCTGCAGTCGTGATAAAAACATAAATTCCAATGTTGCTATCGATCCAGTATGAATTTCAATAACTTTTCACACAGAGTATCTTACGCTTTTCGAGCACTTCTGTGATTCCAGCATTATCAGCTTCTAGCTCCATTTTGAATTTGGAAAGTTCTTGATCTAAACGTCGGGAGTGCCGGTCAACCTGGGGGGAAAGACAAACGAGTCGTCCGTTAAACTGAAATCCTTTTATTAAAGAAAACGTTAAACCACAATAGAGTAAAAAGTAAAGTTGTTCCCGCATCCGATCCGGACATTGGGGATTGCCTTGTTAGTGAGACAACTTCCTGAGCCTTCGGCATATTGTGGTAGGGTGGCCAGTTCCTTTCCGCGCCACCTTTACTTCCCCAACTCGAAGTCAGGTACCCAATACTGCTGAACCGAGGCTCGAACCCGGACTTTCCGCCACCGCATCCTCAAAAAAATAGAATATGTATACAAAATATCATATATAGAGGTTCAAGTTCTTACGTAGTAGAGAGAATTTTTGGGCAAACTTCAAAGAGCATTATTCAGCTCCTATTGGCTAGCTTCATGGTTGTCCCTCTTGTTTATTCTACACTGAAATATAACCTATGGGTGATCCTCATGCTTTTTTAGACTATGTGGGAAGGACAGTCACCAGAAACAAAGGAAACACTACAAACTTACTAAGCAATTGACCAACCCACTTCACCAGAGCTCATGCCCGTGCTTAGACATCAGGTAAGCATACAGTACGTGATAGATTTTGCTGTCCGCAAGTCCACACCCACTATCGACCCCAAACCCAACCCCCATACCACATTTCCTCCTTTTTCAGTCACAAGATGCAGAGGTAACAGCATCACTTCTATTATGTTAATCAAGGGGCTGATGTTCTTGAAAATAGGCAGTGTCGTTTGGAGCAAAAAGTAGAGGGAGGGAGCGTCTTCTCTTTTGCTTTCTCTTTCCCACCCGTACACATCTCAAACTGGGTTCTTAGGAGGATTTAAATTTTCAGAACAGGTTCTTAGGCAGGTAAATTGAGGAAAACATTTTATTACACTGTACAAGTTTTAGGCACACAGGGTTCTTACACAGATTGCTCTCATTGGCAGAGCATAAACAGGAGCACACTGCATTATATAGCCACATTAACAGAACCACTCACTTATGACTGTTTGATAAGCTCCCTTTCTTTCATAAACATGGACCAAAAACCTTCCTTTTCAGCCACTTTCAAGAGGATATAAAATAATTATCCAGCACAAACAATATATATATTTCAGTTATTCAAACAAAGCTTCTGATCCAAAGTACAAATAAATAGAAATAATACCCCCCCCCAAAAAAAAAAAACAACCCAACAACAACCCCCCAACAAAAACAACAACAAACAAACAAAACAAAACAAAACCCCCAACCTAACTATTCCAAAACAGCTATGATGATCCTTCCCCAAAAATGCACATAACACCTGAAGAGTCTTCAAACATTTAAGAACTGTAATCACTTAAACACTTGCTTGTGATGCAATAAACACATCAACAAAGATATAATAAAACCAATAATATGTGTTTCTTAATATAGTAGAAAACAAAAGGTCAAATAAAAATGATCACATTGAGCTAAAACAATAAATGCATAAACAATAGTAATTGGAGAGCAGGATAAAAAAGTAATGTGTGTCTGGTCTTAAAATCTGGAGAGCAATAAAAAAAAGAAGAAAGCTAATGGTTCCAACACAAACCTATTCAAAAAGATCAACAGGGCTACAAGAATCTTTGAAAAGCAACAGGAGCCAGTTCTCAAGAAAAGAAATTCTTTCAGAGTATTTCAAACTACTCACAAGTTCATATATGTGATTGGCCAATTGAACCTTTTCATCTGTGTCTTCTAGTGCTTTGTAATATTCCTGTAAAATAAAAATAAAATAATTTAAAAAATGGAGTCTAGTCATGGAATAATTACATAAAATGTTCACAATATAACAATACTGGATACACCAACAAAAAATTATTTCTAATATAAAAATGTCAGAAGTGAAAACTTTTTTGAGCTGCAAGCAATATATTTAATTAAGTTTGACAACTTCAACTGCAGTGGCGTACGCGAAAACCGAAATTTATGGGACTGATGGATTTTCTTCAGTTTAGCCGAGTTTCCATATTTAGAGCAGGGGTGGGCAAAGAGTTGCTTAAAAAAATTTAGATATGTCGGTGCATCCCATTGCGAAAGTCTGAAGTGGATTTTAACCCTAATTTCTTCTGCACCCCATTATGTGGGTGCAACTCGTGTGTGAAAGAGGATATGGATGCGGTCAGCATCACCACTCTTTTCATACCCTGCTATTTCTAACATCATTTTCTCGTCTCAAAAGCCGAACACCTTAACCTCCTGGCAACGAGAGCCCCCAGTGAATATAAAATATATTTTACAGTTTATGTTGTCCAAAAGCAATCTCTTCTATATCAAAATCACATGGCCACTCACTCAGGGTCATCAGCAAGACACTCACCTCTTTGATTTTCTTGAACTGTTCTTCTTTCCATTCTTTTTTACAATTGGCTTGCAGGCATTTTTTGAAAAATGCTTTTACATTTTCATCCAGAGTATCCAAAGTGTCTGATTTGAAGAGAGAAAGTACACATCAGTAAGCAAACTGAGCAATCTGCGAGGTAAGGATTATCTGTGAGTCAGAATGAGTGAAGATAGCTGTCTGCAAGCTGAAAACACTTTGACTAATAAATTAATACACGATATATAAGGAGAATATGAAATTTTTGATACCTTAAAATACAGTTCAGATTATCCGGGATGGTCGCCCAGTGTTGAGTAGACAAGTAGTTGTCTAAGATTAAGACAGGTGTAATTTGCCTTGGACAGTGTCACGGCCATTATAAAATATAGTATAGAGAAAAAACACAGGCGGGGGGCGAGAAGTATAGAGGTAATTACTGGTGGCTTGTTAGTTTCATTAGAGCAGATTCAACTGTATGATTTTGATTTATACTCTTACACAAAGATTTTACATTATACTTAAATTTTTTTAAAAGAGAATGTTGAGATTGACTTTGAGGAATTTAGGCATGCACTTTAATTTGACAGTATGAATGAATGTAACTGAAACCTTGAGAATGTGGTAAAACTCTTACTTGAAACTTGTAAATCCATTTCTCTCATTTCTGTCAGCTTTTCCCTCATTTCCATAGGCAGGTTCTCTACAACTGAAATTGCACACAAACATAAACAACAGTCAAAGTAGAGGTCACAAATGATACACAGGAAGACATGACAAAACGAAAGGGGGCTCGCTGGTCAAATTCCACAAAATGAGACCCAATTTATTTGTAAAATATTGAAACTGAGTTTGAAACATTTTTTAAAGTTGAATCATTCTAGTTTACAAATATGTTATAAAGTTGAAAAACACTCAGAAAAGAGCCTTAAGTGATTCCTTACACTGCATGCAGCGTGTTAACTAACCATTGTCAATTTTACTTTATCTGCATTTTTCTCAAAACTCATATTATCCTGTCATTTTATGTTTTTCTTCCATCATTTTTTAATGCTAAAAGATAAAGCCTTCAAATCTGGCACATCATTAGTTTAGCTATGTCCATAAATAACTGGTTACTCAAAGCTTTGTTATTTGGCCTATTTTTAATTTTTATGGCCTCTTGTTCAAAGTAGGTTGCGTTTCACTAAAAAAAATGTTAAATTTTACTTTTTCAATAGCTCTGAAAACTCCATAAAATGGATGAAATAGCCAAGTAGCCAGCTATTAGTGACTATATTTAAACATACAAGTTAAGAATTTAAAAAATAAGACGAAATAAAGAAAAGGTGGAGAAAAGAAAAATGTATTCATTTTTTTGTTTAAAAAACAAAATGACAAAATGGCAGGCGTTTCCATGGTTACAAGCGAGTCTAAACACATACTTTATGGTTCTGAATATTTCCACCCATATTAATTATTATTATACTGATTGATTTTTAAAATAGTTGTAGGTAAGAAAATGTTGGTTATATTTGTCGAGCCCCCTTAATTTCTTCCTGGAATCATTGCTACTACTTATGTCAATACTAGCAGGATTAAAAGATTTCATTGTAACATTTTATTTTTCCATCCTTATGCAGACACACTGCTTTAGGGAGCTGGTTGCCATTAATTTTTATTTTTTGCTGGAGAACACACATGATATGGCCACTAGAACTGATGCAATCAATTGCTTTAACTTTAAAGAAATTATCAAACATAACAGCATGAGTAAAACATCACTTTTATGATTAAATATGGTGAAATACGGGGGAGGGGGGATGTATGCCCGCCAGACC